CACACAATACACTAACAGAAAATTACTGCACTCAAAATACTGTTGTGGCTGCTACTTGCTTTTAAAACTCAGCCACTTGAAGAGGAAGTGATAGTGATGCTGCTGCCTACACATTCTATAATGGATTAATAGTTAGAGCTTTTACCTAGTTAGTATTTAGGGGGGTTCAAATTCACATCTCATATATCCTTGAAGAGTCAGCTACCCACCAGGATATAGGCTATTCTGGACAGAGAACACTGTCTGCCTCTTGAATTAAGACTGTGCCACAGTACAAAATATTTTTGATTCACTGACTCAGAGAGAAGACAAAAGAGGGAGCTTGACTCTGTAGCCCTGAGATTGGGCACTGACTTGAAAAGTGGAACTCCTGAGTTTTGGCCATTGCTTTGCAATCTTTTATTGGTATTTAATGTTCAGTAGTCTTACAATAAAAACAAAACATTCCTGGTGCCAAGGACTAGAATCCAGGTCTTCCTCTCACATGGCTACAGAGTCACGTTCCTTCTTATTCTTTATGGCTAGGTACAGAAATTTCATATAAACTGGTGTAACCGATCAGAAACTGATCTAAACCTGTAACAGAGCAGAAGTTCAGTGCACATAGACCTGTTTAAAAATGGCAGAAACTGGTCTAAGATAGACCTGGATGGATGTACTACCTTAATTGGTTTAAGTTAGAGCAGTGTATCAAACTTCTGTGCCAGATCTCTTCCCAACTCAAGTTACCTTGCAGTCACCTGGTATCCCAGGATGTTTTGCAGCTCCACTACTAACCCCTGCTCACAGTGGAGGTGGGCTAGCCTCGGCCTGTGTTTGTCTGCTTTGGCAGCTGGGTCAGCCCTCCCCTTCGACTGTCATAGAGCCAAGGCAGCAAAGCCTGTGCTCCCCAGGCCTGTGTCCTGCCTTTGCCTGTCAGCTGGGCCATGCAGTGAGAGGAGGGGGGGAGAGGGCGGTGGCAGAGCAGAGGCCCCTGGTCCTCACCACCCATCCAGAACTGCTGGGGAGGGCTTGTGGCAGGGGCTGTCTCCACCCCCGCTGACCAGTCCAGTGTGGCTTCCTTCCCCAACCCTGCCCCCTGCCAGCTGTTAGCAGCCAGGGGGACGGGGGGAGAAAGTGGACCGCCCCACTGCAGCCCAGCCAGAACTGCTAGGTGGCCGTGCAGAAGGGCTTTCTCCCTTCCCTCACTGACTGGCCCAGTACAACTTTGTTCCACGCTAGGCCGGTCAGCAGGGGGGAGAGAAAGCCGCCGCCATGCACCCCGCCAGTGGTTCTGTGTACCTATGCTACTGTCACTGCAGAGGGGCCTGGTATCTGCCATGTGGGTAAGTGCACGCAGGTGGGGTTCTCCAGGAGGTGGAGATTTGCAACCTGCAGCAGGGATCCAGTTTGCTGGCCCCAGCCTGGGGTGTTGCCAACCTCAACTATAGGTGGTTCCTGGCTCAGCACGTGGGTATTATTGGATCATCATTCTGAGATATTTAAATCTCCCCATTTACCATAAAAGGCCTTCAGTGCCTCATTAAAGATTGGGCTGCAATACTTAACTTTTAGACACTTAAGTCCTTTGTTGGATCTACCACTAGTTAATTGCTTGCCACTATGTATACTACATGCAAAATTCCATGACTATGTGGATCCATGTGAGTAAAGTTTGTTGGATCTGCACTGTGATTCACTTTGCTTTGTTTTTTACCAAAGAAAGAGGTGAGACTGCCTATATATTAGCTGTACTTTTCTTTTAAATAAAGCACTTACTAAGATTTGAATTTATTTTTGTACACATTAGAATAAAAAAATCAATAAAAATTCAGTGAATAATATTCTCTGAACAATGCTTCAAAATTTATGTTTAGATCCTAGTTCAGTCAGAGTGTAAGCCAGTAGATATGCTAGCTAAGGAAGATAAAATTCAATCTATAGTGCAGACAAAGGCTGTTTCCTCAGTGCTGGCTTTACTAACTTAGGGGAGATTTCCAAACAATACCACGGTAATGTAAAATAGTTTAACAACCCCCCTTTTTATCTCTTAAATCTCATGACAGGTTCTCTTAGAGTGATGCAAACCAACTGCATCTTTAAAACACTGACCCATTTATTTATATGTGACATGTGACAGTTGTATTATAGGAAATCAAAAATCTTTACCCAACATATCTCTGTCTGGAAACTACAGCTCCCTCAAATTCTCAGGCTTTAGAAGAGCCATGTCACTGGCAAAGCCTGAAATTACACGCTGCCACTATACCATATCTACATTTGGCCCTCAGTTTTGCCAGTGCAGTTATTTTGAGACTGTAGTAACTAAGAGCAGAATTTATTCTGTGACCAATAGGTTGCTGACTTTTCTCTCTCTTTTTCTCTTTCTCTCTCTGTGTGTGTGTATGTATGTATGTGCATGTGTGTGTATATTTGTGTATACATTTTTACAGATAGCAAATTTACTCATGATTAGAGCAAATTACTCTTATATATGTTGAACTGTTTGAAATATATACCAAACTCAGATTGTTTGATAGAATGAAGACCTGAATCAAAGTTCTTATGACATAATGGGCGTGTCTACAGGAGATGCTTAACTTGAGATTAGAGCTAATTACTGCACAATAAGTATCACCATCTACACATGCAGATGCTTACTGTGCAGTAATTTGCTCTAATCATGAGTAAATTTGCACTCAGTTACTTACTGTACAGTAGCACATATGTAGATGCCTGACTGGGAGCACATTTGCTCCTGATCAGCTGGGCAGCAGTGTATGGGAGATTGCTTCCTGCCCCTGGGAGCTGCCTGCTGCCAGGGCAGGCTCTGCCACCGTAGCCTGGGTGGGGACAATGTCCACTTGCACGTGCAACAGGGAGCTCCCAGCCCCTGCTCTGTGATCACAATCCTGGGGTCAGGGCTGGGAGATCCTTATCTCCCAGCCTGAGCTCCGTGGTCATGGAGCTGTGGTTGGGAGAACCTTATGCCTCTGGGTCCCATGACCACAGTTTGGGCTGGGAGATAGGGATCCATGGTGCTAAGATTGCTGGCTTGGGCAACAAATCTGCTCTCACATCTCTGCACATGTAAACTGGATCCAGCCAGGGGCCATAGGTGGCGGATCCCTGACCTACAGCTAGCAAACACTGGGTTGTGCTATATATACATATACCAAGTCAGTTCAACATGAAACAACATTGTGTCATAAAAACTGTAATTCTAGTTTCCATTCCACCAAACAGTTTAAGTTTCCTGACCAAACTGTATCTGCCATGAGATACAATTTATAGAGGTGCACCGATACATCGGTCCCATATCGGATTGGCACCAACATAAGGAAAATCAACTGTATTGGCAATTGACTTTTTTTTGCTGATATGGCTAATAATGCCACTGATAAATGGCCCCTACATGCATGCAGCCGCAACGCAACACACAGTCGGCTAGGAGCACAGCCCAGCAGTGTGGAGAACATCCGGGTCCAGCTGGTAGGTCTGTTGTGAGGGAAGGGGCATGGGGGCGCAGATCAAGGCCCCTGTGGTGAGGGAGGGAGTGGAACTAGAGCAGGGGTTGGGGCAGGTGCTGTACAGCTGGGCCAGGGCATGGGTTGGAACCGTGAGCAGCTCATCCAGGGGACGCAGGGCGGGGATGGTGGATCCCGCTGCTACGCACACTCCCAGGAGGGCACAGGTGGTGTGTGTCCCCAGATCTGCACATGTGGTGAGGGTGGGCTGCCACTTTGGGCTGGGGCTAGGGTGGTGCTGGGCTCGTCCTGATGGGGGTAAGTCCCAGGCTGTGCTTAGGGAGGGCAGCGGTGGCACTCAGAGGGGGGCTGTGGCAAATTTTGGGGTGGCTGTAGCCCCCCCATAGTCTGTCTCCCAGCACTGCCAGCACCCACACTGAGCACAGTCCTGACCCAGCCCCCAGAAGGAAAAGCCCGGCACACCCGTGGCCCCAGCCCGCAGTGGAAGCCTGTCCTTGCCCTGTGCACAGATCCAGGGGCACATATCCACCTTGCCCTTCCAGGGTGCATGGAGCAGCAGGAGTTCCTCCCTCCCGCCCTCCCC